ATTAAAGGAATTACATATTCACATGATTGTTTAAGTGAGAACATAACCTCATTTTATATTAAAATAAAAATATTGTGAGAGGGCCGACTACTGGGGTAAAAAAATCGATATTATGCTAGTTATTGGCAACAGTGCCAATTACTGGCTAAGGCAAATATTATGTATTTCCAGTTATTGGCATAGCACTTATTGCTTAAAAAACTATGAACAAATTTAAATAAAAACTGAATTATTTCAAAATTATTTAGTAATTTTAAATTTATAATATATTACATTGTATTAGGTATTTTATGAGATATTTTTATTTTTCAACAAAATGAAGAGTACCTAACTGCCATTGTTTTATCTATTTTGTTAAGTAGATATTGATTTAGGAAAAGAGGTGCCTGATTATCGTTGTTTTTTTCAGGTGTATAATGCCGAAAGTAAAAAAAGGTAAATCTTACGTAAAACGTTATGACGAAAGAAACATCGATGAAGCAATTGATGCAATCAAACTTGGTATGTCCATAAAGTCAGCTGCCAGAACCTTTAAGGTTCCACGTCAGACTTTACAGTATAGACTTTCTGATAAATTTAAAAAATGTGGACATGGTCCTCAGCCAGTTTTATCACTGCAGGAAGAAAATACCCTGGTAGAGTGGATACTAGATTGTCACAAAAAAGGATTTCCTCGACGAAAACAGGACATCCAAGTGTCAGTAAAAAATTATTTACACAACGTTGGCAGGAAAACCATATTTAAGGACAATTTGCCTGGAGACAAATGGATGAATTTGTTTTTAAAAAGACATCCCAATTTAAGCTTTAGGACAGCAGAGGCAGTAACTTCTTCTAGTGGCCAGGTTTCTGAAAAAGACATAAAGGGCTGGTTTCAAAATATTGAAGGCTACCTGAATGAAAAAGGCTTATCAGACCTTCTTCTGGATCCATCAAGGATTTATAATGGAGATGAAACTGCATTTTGCTTTAATCCAAAGCAGTCTAAGGTAATTGCACTTAAAGGGAGCAAGGATGTTTATGAAGTTGATTCTGGTCCAGCTAAACTAAATCTAACGGTCATGTTTTCGTTTAGTGATAGTGGAAACACCACTCATCCAATGATTATTTTTCCTTATAAAAGAATGCCTAAAAGTATTGTAGATACGGTTCCAAATGGTTGGGGCATTGGAAATAGCGAAAATGGATGGATGAAATCAGAACTTTTTTACGAATACATTGGTAATGTCTTTTACAAAAGTCTTGTGAACCAAGGAATTATTTTTCCAGTAATTTTATTCGTTGATGGCCACAAAACACATATGACTCTTCAATTAAGTGAACTCTGCACTAAATTACAAATAATCCTAATAGCTTTGTATCCAAATGCAACACGCATTCTACAGCCTGCAGACGTTGCAGCATTTAGGCCAATAAAAAATGATTGGAAAAAAGTTGTATTAGAATGGCGACTACAAAATCCAGGAGAACAGTTGTCAAAATTTACTTTTGCACCACTATTAAAAAAAGTTGTTGATAATGATAAGGCTTCAACTATCAAAAACGGATTTCGTGCTTGTGGATTATTTCCCTGGGATCCCAATGCTTTAGATTACAGAAAATGTTTGGGTAGAATAAAAAATAACCAAGAAACCAATGACATAATTAGCATCGATGAAGGGGCGTTGACTTGTCAACAATTCTGTGCCATTGTTGGAGAAGAAACAGTTGATAAATTAAGGGCTGTTAAAAACGAAGAAGTTTTAGAAAATAACTTTAAAATTTTATACGAGTTATGGAAAATTGTAAACAAACAAAAAGTACAAAAAAATATAGAAACATCCCGACTTAACCAAGAAAAAAAGGAATATTCTGAACAAATACTCTTATCAGATTCTGTCACAAACAAATCAGATGCTGATGCTGATACAATAAACAATTCTTATAGTTACTTAAGATCAACAATGCAAACAAATATTGAAGATGGAGTAAGTACCTTTAACATAGAAGATATTCCTATAATCATAGTACCTGAAACAACAGATTGGCCAGAAATAATAATTGATGAAACAATTCTTTCTCTCGAAAAAAATGACCATAGTAATTTTAAACCCTCAGAAGATAGTACCAATGAAATAAGAAATTACCTTACATGGCCCGAAACACCCCACAGAAAAAACAAGAACCCTAAGAAAGGTCCAGAAAAGATGCCATATGTTATCACTTCAAGTGGATGGAAAAAAATATTTTGTGAAAAGAAGCTAACCAAAGAAAATATTGAATTGGAAAAAGAAAAGAGAAAAGAAGAACGACTTAAACTCAAAAGTATTAAAGAAGAGAAACAAAAAAGCGCAAAAGCCAACAAACAAAAAAAGAAAATAAATAAAAGTAAATTAAAAAATAACGAAAATGACGCAAATGATAAAAATGAAATGGAACTAGAAAACAATAAAGAAAACGATGGAATTGAAGAAAATTGTAAGAATCCAGAGGGCAATGACAATAAAAAAATTTGTATTATTTCTGACTATAAAATAGAACCACAGTGCACAATTATTAATAAAAAACTGCAACCACAGAAACCATCACATGTAAAAAACTTATTTAAAAATAACGAAGATCTGGACACACCAGAGGATACTGAAAGTACAGTAGAGCCAAACATATACAAAGTAACTTCAGGATTGTGCTATACATGCTGTTTTAATATTAATTCTGAAAGTTTTGGTGTAAAGTGTATGAAATGTCAAATAAGACAATATCATAAGATTTGTCTACAAAAATATAAAAAATGCTATACTAATTTTGTATGTGAACCTTGCAAGAAAACAAACAAATAATGTTAAATATTATGTTTTAATAGCCTACTTACCAAATAGGTATTGGTATTTATGATAACTACCTAGTTGTTTTTTTAATAAAAATATGTTATTTAATTTAAACAAGAATGAATTAGTTAATTACCTACAAAAATAATAATAATGGCAATATGCCAATAACTGGCATATTAATATGCCAATCACAGGCCATAAGGTGCCAATAACTAGATTTTTTTACTATTTTGTATTTTTATTTATTTTTAAAAATTTGTAACTTTTATTTTTTACTACTAATAAATGCTTATAAATAATCAATATACCCGGAAACATAATACAAAAGCAAAATCAACCTTTGGTAAGTTTTATATACAAATATATCCATCCTAACTTGAGGAAATCCTTAAGGATGCCAATAACTGGGTAGTTTATATATAGTTCTCATTGTTCTCAAGGAAAAACTATACGAAAAAATTGAATCTACACCTCGCCAAAGTTTTTTGTTTTGTGTGCGTTCCACCAACTTCAAATACCGACAGACAGCTGTTTCGACCTATATTGGGTCTCATCAGTGTCGGGCAACTTGGTGTAGTGGAACACACTCAAAACAAAGGACTCCCTGAGCTTATATGCTCGGTTGGTAAGCCAACAGAGGCGAGATGTAAGAACATCAGGCGATCCACAACGTCAAACGACGTGGCCTTTGCCGCAATCGGTACATACTATGCAACCGAGACTGCACACAGCAATTGTATCACAGATACTAATATGGCCTAAAGGAATCTAGAATTAGCCCAACTGGGCTTAACATTTTTTTCTTATGAATATTACCAGTAATGGGTCAAGAAAGCTTCTTAAAGAAACTAAGAAAATTTAAAGAAAAACTATACATTAAAAATTATACTGAGTTAAATAAAGAAACATATTAAGTTGTATTTTGTAAGAAAACAAAGTATCTTGAACATTTCTGCTGCATAATAAAAAAACTGTTGTGTCAGTTATCTATAACATAATTAATAGATGTCGAAAAGGTGATACTTTTGTAATTAGCATGTTAATCCTATTGACTATTTGTTTTTTTATTAATACCGAGTGATAACAATTGTTATGTTAGGTATAATTTAAAATATACAATAATTTAAAATATATAGTTTTTTACCAAATTATTATATTTTTGTGATAACACATATGGGGCAAAATTTGCCAAGTGTACCAGGTGAACCGATTTTGTTTAAACTTTACTTATTTGTTGTTCTTATAACAAAGAATCATAGCATAAAATTTTTTTGCTCTAGGATTGTTCATTCAAGAGTTATGGATTATTGAAATTTATCGATTTTTTACTTTTTGGTGAAATCGCTTTTTATTTAAAAATTCATAACTTCTGTTTATCTCTTTATTAAATATTTCAATTTTACCACCTTAAATGATTTTTTCCGTACTTTTCAATGGGCTATACCGTTTTTGCAAAAAAATAAAAATTGCAATTTTTTTTTGAAATTTTGCAAAATTTTGCATTTTTTGAAACAATGTGTATTTTTTTATTTTTTTTAAAATACCATAAAATGCAAGTTTATTATGTTACCTTTGAATAAAAAAAAAATTAGAGTGGGCCCGACATGTAGAAGGGAAGTTTTTCATATTTGAATGCCGCACGGTCTAGCCATCGAATAGCTACTACACTGCCGTATGCGTTTATACCTAGTAGATGCGAGTAAACGAATACAAAATGATAATTTAAAATGTAAAATTATGTTTGAGTAGTCAATGATGTATTTTAAATATTTACACTGCCGCACGATATAGTTTTTTAACTGTATTTTTTTGCACGGTATAGCCCATTGAAAAGTACGGAAAAAATCATTTAAGGTGGTAAAATTGAAATATTTAATAAAGAGATAAACAGAAGTTATGAATTTTTAAATAAAAAGCGATTTCACCAAAAAGTAAAAAATCGATAAATTTCAATAATCCATAACTCTTGAATGAACAATCCTAGAGCAAAAAAAATTTATGCTATGATTCTTCGTTATAAGAACAACAAATAAGTTAAGTTTAAACAAAATCGGTGACAAAAATTTTTTCACCTGGTACACTTGGTAAATTTTGCCCCATATTCTTATCACATTATAAAAAATAAAAAACAAACATATTTTTTTGATTTTATAAAAACATCAAAACAAATGTTTAATATAAAAGGTGCGTTAATTTTCGAAAATGTCAGTTTACAGGTTGTACTCACAAGCATAATGGTTTCTAAAAGTGTATTGGTTTTGCTGTGCTCTTTAGCAGTGGCTAATTGCTTTGATTTTAACGGAATCACCTTTGGACCTTTAAATGATCTATTACCTAGTTTGAACTTTTTCCCAATAGATTATTTATTAGGCTGTAAGGATCTCTCGAGCGGTTCCATCACAAATGGAGAAGTTATTAATATAATCGACAACAGTCATTTGGTAAAAGCAATCATCATTTTATGTATGAATTTTTATTTTCTCATATTCATTTAAGGTTTGGTTATTTTTTCCTATTAATGGAACCCATGGATATGCTTGCTCTGGAACGTTAATAGGGCAAACAACTGTATTAACTGCGGCTCATTGCGTACAAGTGTAAGTCCAAATTGTACTTTAAATATTGATACGAAGGTAAGTTGACTGATTTATTTAATTTCTAGGAAAACAAAGGGACAGCCTATTCAAATCTATATACTAGCCCAGGATCTTTCAAAATTATCAACCGATACAACTTACATCTATAGAGAAGAATCTTTTTCCACTTATGACAAACGTTATGATGATGACAATGCTCACGATGCCGGAATCATTACATTTTCAACACCTGTAACCACAGCAACACCAAGTAAGAAACAGTATTTTTCTAAAATTAAATAATTTTACTCATTTTTAATCTGAATTTCTCCGGATAACCACTTCAAAAAAAGATCTGCGACATTTATATTGATGATAATGTTTTTAAAGGCAAACATGTATGTAAATACATATATTTTTGTTTCAGTTGTACTCAATAAAGATTGTTATTTCCCAACCGGAACCAAAGTTCAACCTCAGGGATATGGAAAAGCATCGGACAATGCTACCACAATTTCAAAAAATCCACGCGAAGTAACGACAAGCATTATGGATTACAAAATATGTAACACCATATATTTGAACTCTCTTTATCCAAACAATTTGTGTACTTGTGGACTCAGCAACGAAAATATTTGTGGGGGTGATAGCGGTGGACCTCTACTCCTAAATAGAGAACAGGTAAAAACAAATTAATTGTTTATATGATGGGCACGAAAACAATTATTTGTAAAATATTAAACCTCTGAACACATCTTTTTTTTTAGATTGGTATAAATTCCTTTGGAAGCATATTCGGTTGTGAAGCATACCACCCTTCAGGGTATACCAACATCTGCGATGTTTATGATTTTATTGAGCCATATCTTGATGCATAAATTAACATATTATATTTATTAAATTATTGAGCATTATTGTAAAAATGTTGTTTATAATTTTTTACCTTATTCCTATAACATTAAACAACTCTCATTTCTTCTGGAAATCTCTCTATCGTGACATAATATAATTGATGTCATTTGACATAATACTCTATTGTTTTATAGATGTAGCTCTAATAAATATAGGCTAATACGAAATAATATTTTAAAGTACTTTTTCTAATATCACTTTTTTAATGTGGAATGACATATATTCCTTGAAGTTACATAATGAAATATTCTATCATCGGATGACGGAATAAACACTGGAGGCGACATCTCTGTATTTAAAATCTAACAAATTATAGACCGATTTACACTCCAGCTGAATGTGCCGTATTCCAAACTTACGCACACATTCAGTAATACCAAGTGTGCAGAACCATTTCACACATCCGATCATAAAGCAAGCTTTAACATAAAAGTTTAATATTGTCACATTAACAGAGCCTACTTTATGAAATGTTTGGACAACACGTGCTATCTGACATTTATGCCGAATATATGGGGGCCGTATTTTATGTTTTATATCTTTTTTTCAAGTAAAATTGCCACTTTTTACATTGTATACTACGGTCTTGGGCCTCCAGGTTACACGCCCATTATTTTGATTAACTCCTTCGTGCCTTTAAGTGGCCGGGACAAAAAAACGACAAATTGAATGATTTGTTGTTTAATATAAATATAAATCGCTTTAGAGTAGGTACACATTTTTTGATTGGTGTCATTCTTCGGCATGTGCCTGTCTAGGATCAGGATAAGAGGTGTCGGGGTGGTTGCGGTCCTTCGAATATAAACAGGCAATTGTCTAAAATGAAGCAATCAGTGGCTCGGTGGGCGATAAGAGCGCCCCGTAACGATCGCCATGGGAAACATTAACGGAATTCTCGTCAGATACTGCACCCGGAGTTTTTGGTCCTCCCGCACCTTTCTATACAGTTCCTACGACTCCTCCATGCCAGAGACAATTCCTCATTTTTCAATGATAAGTTATCGTATGGATGAGCAAACACCTTCATTTTAGATTTTTGCAATGATAAGAATATTGGAACAGTGCCGTGCTCAAATTAAATATTATAAAAAAAAATATGTATGAATAAAAATCCAATATTAAAAAAATGAGATCATGGAAATTCGACCTTTAATTTTTTTACTAAATTTTCAGATAAGTATTATACAAAGCATATTTTTCTTGCCATTTACAAAAGTTTCTTTTGTTTTTGTTTGAATTGTGTCGGTGGGGATCTCGATCTTATTGTTTCCACTTTAACCAACAAACTTTGCTATCAAGACAAGTTTTAAAACTATACTATTACTTATACGTATATGGACTGTGTAGAATATATAGTTCTCATTTTTCTCAAGAAAAAACTATACTTTACATATTAAACTGAGTTAAATAAAAAAACATATTAAGTTGTATTCTGTAAAAAAACAAAGTTTCTTGAACATTTCTACTGCATAATAAAAAAACTGTTGTGTCAGTTATCTAAAACATGAATAATAATAATAACAATTCATTTATTTGCCCAACGGAGTAAAACTCCAATAACAGATCAAAAATATATTTAAAGTTTACATTTCATTTAATTTCATGTTTGCTATATTAACTGATTTATTTATTGTTACAATATTTTATTTTATTAATAAAACATATATTTAACTATAGTTTAATTATATATATATATATTTAACTATAGTTTAATAATTAAACTTTAATTATATATAATAATATATCGTGTTACAACAAGTATCTATTTATTTACTATTATTAACCTATTTTTGTTGACACCTTGAAAATGCTTAAAAATATGTTTACCGTTTAGTTATTGTAATGTGGATCTTGATACTTAAAAATATTATTAAAGGAAAAATATAAAGTTTGCATAATACAGCAAAACATTTTACGAGCTACTACATGGATTTTGTTTTTTATGTATACTTCATTGTTTTTTAATAATAATATTGGTTGTGATATATTGTTTTAAAAAGAATGTAATAAAATAGAACCTAAAAACAAAACAAAATAATAAAAGAAAATGTTTAGCTAAACTACCTACACTGAATAAGTTAGCTAAGCTGAAACAAATAAAACAGGGAGGCAATAAAAATGCTATATTGACATATTTATTGAATATTTATAATAAAAAAATAACATCACCTAAATTGTCAGTGTTTTTCGAAATTATTCAAAAAACGTCATACAGGCAACGAACTGAGGTCCACATCCTCCAAAATAAATTTCATTTTACGATAAAAAAAAATAACCAAGTCACAGCACAACACTTTACAATCATTAAATTATAATATTGGCATTGAGTAAAGATCAATGATATTGGTCAATTCGCAGTGCACAGTAACAGAGATATATTCTTTTTCTATGAATATATGTACTCACACTTAATTTTAGGCATATATGCCTATAGGAAACACACTCCATCGACTTAAGATCAAACGTGGCAAACAAATGCAATTTGGCGTTGGGGTAGACGAAAGCCGAAATGCAATTTCTTTGTTTTAAGAATATGTTATGTTATTATTATTGAATTCAGTTTCGCTGTAGTAAAGACTTGATTCCTGAAATTATGCATTCCCAAGCAGCATTTTAAGTTTAAATAACTACAACTTTACTACTAAGTCAACTTTAAAGTATTTTTTACGGTTAATCAAAACGGTTTTATAACGGTATAGATTACCAAATTTGGGGAATGGTTTATTTCGTTATTAGAATAGAATAGAATAGATTTATTAGTTCAGAAAGATTGCAATGGTTACAATGTTGAACAAGTCCAAAAAAGTATATATAAATATTCAAGATTAACAATGTACTAACAAACAAATCCAAGAAAATTTGGTACAAATAAACAAATACAAGAAAAACATTTGGTTAAAAAAATCATCAACGCAGTAATCACATCTGTTTACAAGGTATGGTCTTAAGCAAGGTTTAAATTCCCTAAAACTAAGGCATTTTATTGTTTTTGGTAATTTATTATATAAAGTTAAAGCAAAGTTTTGAATACTCCTGTAAACGGTGTGGGTCCTTGTTTTATTAATTAACATTAAATCTTTATTTCTAGTGAAGTAGGAATGCTGTCTACTAGTATTGTTAAACATAAAACTGTTTTTCTTGTAAAAAATTAAAGTTTCAAAAATATAAAGATCTGGTAGTGTTAGTAGGTTATTTTTTACAAACGTTTGCTTGCATGATTCATTAAATTCCAACTTAAAAATAATTCTAATAATTTTTTTCTGAAAAATGAATAGATTTTTTGTATGGGATGAATTACCCCAAAAAATTATGCCATATTTTAAATTGGAATAAACAAATGCATAATACACATTTAAGAGTGTCACTCTTGAAACAACAAATCTTAGATTAAGGATTAAGTATAGATACTTATTGATTTTTTTAAAAACACTATCTGTTTGTTCCTTCCATAAAAATTTGTTGTCCAAAATAACACCCAAAAATTTAATTGAAGTACTCAACTTGATGGTACATTTATTGTTAATATTAATATTGTTATTGGTAAACCCATACTCTCCAAATTTTATGTACTGTGTTTTGTCAACATTTAACTTAAGGCCATTATTTTGAAACCATTGAAATATATTTTTTTGTGTTAAATTAATATTAGTTATTAGATCATTTTTAGTAGAGGATTTAAAAATTGAAGTAGTATCATCTGCATACATAAAAATATTGTCGTGGCATTGGGGCAAATCATTTACATACAAAATAAATAAAATTGGGCCAAGAATTGAGCCCTGAGGAACTCCTTTTTTTAACTCCACTGTGTTGGAATATAACTCCAACCCATTTTCCGATGATATTTTTACCCTTTGTTTTCGGTTGGACAGATAGGATTTAAATAAATTTAGCGCAGTACCTCTTATGCCATATCTTTCTAATTTCAACTCCAATAGTTCTTTATCCATGGTGTCAAAGGCTTTGGATAAGTCAAAAAAGGCAGATACTGCCAGAGTTTTACTATTCCAAAGGTCCATGATCCTATCAACAAAATTAAATATTGCTAATTCCGTATTACTACCTTTAACGAAACCATATTGATGTTTAGAAATTATACAATGTTTATTACAATATTTTATCAATATGGTAGAAATTGATATTTCCAGTATTTTTGAAAAGATAGGTAATAAGGAAATAGGTCTATAGTTATTAACATTAGTTTCAGGACCCTTTTTATGCAAAACCCTGACAATAGCCAACTTTAATCCATCCGGAAAAACGCCACTTAAAAAGCAAAGATTTATAATATGACTAAGAGGACTTGCTATGACGTATGCGCACCTTTTAATAATTTTTGTTGGAATTTCATCCCAACCAGTGGATTTTTTATTTTTTTGATTGTTTATAATGTCATAAACTTCAACGGCATCTAAGGGATATAAAAACATATTGGAGTTAATGGATTCAATGTTGTTGACATTAAGTTTTGGTGATGGCAAATTTAGTGTATCAGATATATTAGCAAAAAATACATTAAATTCATTAGCTACATTCAATGGACTATCTATAACAATATTTTCTTTTTCCAAAATAATATTTTTGGATTTAGAAACTAAAGTTTTATTTTTATTTATTAATCTCCACATTTGTTGCTGGTTGTTTGTATTTTACCTACATAATAACCTTTTGGATCTACTAAGAGAATAACGTAATAAAAACAATATAAATACCACAAATTTACGTAAAAATAACGTTATAATTACTAACTGTTTGCTCTCTCTTTCAAAAACATTGACATTAGTAATTTCTTTGTTCTTTTAATTTATATTTTACAAAATGGTACCTACGTACAAAGTAATAAAGGTCACCCTAGAGTAAAATTATAAAATATAACTTAAATTGTCAAAACTAATAATATTTTGCATTTAAACTCAAACGCACATTATTTTATTGATAAAAATAGGCAGGATACATCTTAAAAATTATATACCCTCTAAATATTTTACGGTTTTAAGAAAAATTATTG